TTTATACAATCACTGGCTGTGCAGGTGAGTTTCAGTTAAATTTTCTTCTTTAAGGTTTAAGTATAAGATAGAAGCTTTGAAATAACATCCTTTCAGGAAAAAAATGCCAAACCATTTAGTGCAAATTTCTTCATTTTTGTTCACCAAGGCACTTTGATCATGTCCCTTGCAATTATTTCCCTGTTAAAAAACAGGCCCTCACACTCCTAATGCTTCTTGTCTATGATGATGTCCCAGCAGACATATCTTGAAGGGTGTGCAATTTAAATACAGAATTCCTGTTGCAGACTCAGCACTAGAATTCCTTATTACCATACAGTTTTACTAAATGAAAGTGTAGTCAGGAACTTGGATTCTGGCAGGATTGGTTGGAGGTAGTTCCTATGCTACCATTGTATGTTAATGTTTATATATCATCTTTTACTGTCTCAAGTTTGTCAGCCGAACACGAAAACATGATCATGAGATCATTCTCTTACAGAATAAAGCTGACACAAATTGGAGTAATATTTCAGTAAGAAATAACTCCCAAGAGTGGCAGGAAAGGTGCTGATACTGCAGGAACAGTGGCTGCCACAGTGCACAAACATCTACAGTATCCACATGTTCCCAGCTTCCTGCTTTTCAAGATTTTCTGCCTTGTTAAAAGCCGAGTGTTGTGAAAGAAGGGTGATTCTGCAGCTGTTTTTCCTTTGGCCCTTAACAGATTTTAACTCTGTGGGCCAGAAATGGAAGAATGTTTGGAGTTCCCGATCAGAAATGTCCTTATTTGTCCACAGCTCAGGCAAAACAGTGTGCACAAAAAGGCTGTTTCTGAAAGCAAGGTATAAAAACATGTGAGTCCTGAAGGACATGAGGCACGTGGCCTTATGGCTGGTAGGCAGAGTCAGCATCTTTTTCCTTTCCTCAGTTCCAAAGAAAGGTACAAAGCTTAGCAAGTGTCCTGCTGAATGCATAGACAATCTCTTCTCATCTCTGCAGATGTGAAGCCAAAGCTGGCAAAACCTATGTGAGAGGAGTTTCATAGAAGCTTTGTGGGGGAGAAAGCTTTAGGCTGAGCTGGAAGATCAATGGCAGGACCACAGCAGCAAGCTTAACAAACAGCCCAGAGCAACAACAACAAAACCACCAATAAAAACCACCTTAGTTTGCAGGGAGTCATGTTCTGTTGTTAATAAGGTCAGTGCAACAGAAGGGAGATCCCAGCGTCCTAAAACGAGGGGAAGGGAATGTTCCTGTAAAGCAGATACTGGTTGGAGTGCCTGGGATTAGTAGTGCAGTGCACTCTAACAAGGCTGGATCTGCTCTGGCTTAACTTCTTTCTCCCCTTGCCAAAGTTCAGTGGTGAAGTTTTGCTGGAGCAGCAGAAAAACCTTCAGTCAAGTTTGAAAGACGCTCTTCGGAAGGACTTAGTAGTTGCATCACACAATAAACATTCCCTGCTTTTCCTGGAGAACTACCTTCCTCACCAAATGGATTTAGATACTGGTAAGGACTGTGCTTTCTGTATTCCTTTATAGTAAGTTTTGTAAAAATCATATTTGAGTCCTCTTTGAGGACAGGAAGGTGCACTTTGCATTGACGGGAGAGGACCAGTCAGTTCTACTTTGGCTTGAGACTGTTTCCTTTCACTACAGAGTCTGCTATCTGCGGGTGACTGTTGTGTAACCTCTTGATGAAAGCAAATGATAGAAGCCTTCCTAGGTTCCAGGGGCAGCTTTTCTCTCAATTATTGTCTGAGGAATTGGGAACTTCAGCGCATGAGGCATAGCCCCTTTAACTAGGGGGGGTTTGCATCATGTTTGCCTCTTACAGTTTGGATTTGGGAGCAGCCTGGAGCAAGATCCTCATGTCTAGCAGTGCCTTCTCGAGATAATGTGCCATGCGGGCGGCGTTTGTGTCGGCACAGCTGTTGAAGGCTGAAATTGCAAAGTTGATGTGTTCTTCCATGGGGTTGTAACAGATTCCATAGCCATCTGGAACCACGGGACCAAAACACATCACGCAGTCTGTCTTTGCTGGGACCTGTGGAGACAATGTGATTAAAACCTTCTGACCAGTCAGAGAGAAGGGAAACCATCAAATGCAAACAGCTCTGTCAGCAGGAAACTCATCTCATTAAGGTGCTCTAGAAGGGCCTCTGGTCAGCCCCACCTCCCACCACACTCATGCTGGATCCTACAATTTAGCAGCAATGTGTCTTCCTCTGCATTTCCCAAGGAGTGCTTCTCCCCAGGATAAACTTGTAGTAAGTCACAAGTAAGAATCAGAGCACAGCAGATAAGATGAAGCTGTCCTGGCAGCTGGCTTCATTGATCTCACTTGCATTTAGGCACCAAACACTTCTGGTGATCCTGGCTTTGGTTAGGTTAGTTTTTACAAGGCTGTGAGGGACTGTGGCAGCGGTAAGGTCAGATCTGCACCTTTATGGGATTGGCAGCTGGCTTAAAAATTCCTGACCCCAATTGAAGATTAGTTCATAATAGAAAGGAATGAAAGAAACATGGAGAAGAAAAGCATGAAAAGAAGCAGAGAAAGCACTTTTGTCCTACCTGGCTGGTTGAGAGATTGAAGTGCATTGCAACAGCATAGGCTGTGTCCATGAACAGCTCTGGCATGCTCACGAGATCCTCAATAGCCTGGAGCTTCAGGCCAAGGAGGTGCCGGTCTATGGCATTGCCCCGTATGGCCTGGAAGGAAGGAAGGGCAGATGAAAGCCAGTCCAGCAGGCCAGTGAGCAAAACTATCCATTTTTTTGGGACAAAGAAAAGAACACTTCTAAAAATCTCTACATGTTGGAAGTTAGAAGGAAACTAGATCTTGCCTTTAGGACCACTAGTCATTCTTAATTGTATGGACTGTGAAATTAAACACACCAGTGGAATCAACCTGACAGTTCCTGCCCATGGATTCCCTTTGGTTTAAGGGGTCCTTGTGCAACTTTGGCATTTATGAGCAGCAATGATGGTAAGAACTGAAGCTATTGTAATATGTGATCCTCTCCTTTAGGTCAGTCACAAGGGACACTTAACCCACTAGCTAGAGAGAAAGGATTCACTCCGTGGCCTCAGAGCACTGTCAGATCAGAGTTAGACCTTTGCAACAGCCATATTGCTGTGTCAGTGAAAGCTCTTAAGGTCTTTTCTTTCCCCAGAACCATCATTTGCTGGGTAAAACCCTAAGTCTGGCTGCACAGAGGACACTCACCATGTCTGTGTATTCCCTGTGGGCCTTTGTGGCTCTCCTCAGCAGGTCTGCTTTCTCCTGGTCCTGAGAACACACAGATGTAATTTTTTTTCAAGAATGGAAAACCTCATTTTGGCTGTTCCTCTAGGATGGAGGGCATTTCTGTCTTGGGTGTCTGTACAAAACTAACTTTTATATTTACTAGATTTAATTTTTACATTGTTTTGTTTTGCTGTGTTTGTTCATTCTGAATGGAGTTCATCCCTCAGTAGCAGAACTTAGTCTGAGTAGCCAAACAGACTTTTAGAAGGGACTTTTTGGTGGGATTAGAAACATCCATGTGTTGTTTCCCAGGCTTTCAGCACATGTAGAAGAAAAGCCAAATGAAACCCACGGGTTTATATTTGTAAATACATATTTCAAGCTACGTTTTGGCTCAGTTTCGTAACGGGTGCAGTTCCGCTTAGCTGAAACCAGCTGACACAGGGTCAGCCAAGTAAGCGGCTTTTATTTTTAGGAGCGGAGTCCTCTCACTCCAAGTTCCTCACCGATTTGTCAGGGCTGTCCATGGATTGCACAAACTTGAGGGAGTCCACGGAGGTGGAGCGGATGGTGTCGGTGCGGCCCAGGCGGAACATCCTCAGCGACGCGCTCTCGTACGTGGCGCAGGCGTGGCCGTACATCCTGCGTGTGGAGGGGACAGCCACAGCAGTGAGCCTGCCCTGGGGGAAAGGCCCTGCAGAGGCTTCTCTGTGCCACCTTTATCAAGCTCATGTGTTTGAGGAGGTTAAGGAATTCCCTACTGGTGCTCTTACCTGTAGTACGCCAGCTGCAAGGCCAGCTGGATAAAAGCATCAGGGCTTATCTTCTCTGACTTGGGGAAGCCTTTCCCAAAGTGATGAAAGACCATGACTTTGATATCCAGGTCTTCGACCATTCTGCAAGGAAAGAAAAAATGTTTCTTTGCCTGTTGCTTGTTCTTGTAACACAGAGGAGTGGATTTGCTTTCACAAGGCTCAGAGGGAACAGGCCATGTGGATCTGACCTATGCAAGGACAGAGAGCTCCACCACACACAGATTTCTTTGGCCAGCACCACAGAGGTAAGATTTTTTTGGCCACTGCTGAAAATCTTCACCAGCTCAGATGGGCTTGTGTTTGTTTATGCTCCAGTATTCCCAATTGGATCCAGTAAAGTCTTGCTCATTCTTAGCAAATGGGATGGATCAGTAATTACGCCTTTCCAGCACCTTTGACTTTATTCCTGGCAGGTGGCTTTAGTACTTTTCAGCTCAATTCAGCGCTGTTGACCCCAGAAGTCCCTGGGAATGCTCCCTGGCTGCAGCAGGGAAAGCCTCATTTAAACCACTGCCATGCTCCAAAGGGGGACATGAATTACTCCCCCAGTCACTCACTGACCTCTCCACTGCTTCATACTCACATGTTGAGGTTTTGCTTTGCATTCTCTATGTCATTCTTGATTTCTGGGGTGATGTTAAACCGCAGCTTTTTGGGCATTGGCAGAGGAACCGTTGGTGATCTGGCCTTCTCGGGTTTCTTCCTGCACAGAGAAATGGTTCTGTTTGATCAGACCTTTGACATAAGGCTCAGCTTGAACACCAGAGCCTGGATAGAAATGCACAGGAGATTCTCCCTAACACCTTGTGACACTGGTTATGTTCTGAAAAATTCCTCACAATGCCAGTATGCTGTTTTACGAAGGGTGTGAATGAAATGTCTTCTGTGCCTTCTGCCCAAAAGAAGAAACAAACACCTCTCCCTGGCTCAAGTTAGTGCAATTCCCCAAGAGTGGAAGCAGTACTACCAGAGTAGCTTGGCCACTCAGTTCTCCTCATGGATACAAGAACTGCAATACCTAATTAGCATCCCACCACCCTTCCTCCAGAACAGATTCCTGGGGATTGAGCTGTGAAGAGGCATGTTCCTGGGAGGCAGGTGGTTTAGAAACTGTTCCCAACAGTGAGGAAGAGCAGGGGAGGCAGGACTCACGTGAACTCCACGACATGATCCAGAAGAGCAACGATGGGAGGACCTTCAGAGGGAGCATGTTCATACACGAGACCACAGGAGCCATCTTCAGCAATGATGAACTGGGAGAGAAGCACAACAGGAATTAGCTGCAACTTCTAAACTTTATCCCATCAGTGAAGAGTTCCAAATAGGAACAAAACAGCTGAAAACATTATGAACAGTTCAGCAAGTACAAGAAGAATCTTCTAAAGCACCATTGCTACAATCCACAAGCCAGGATATACCAACTAATGAAGGAAAAGCTCCAATAGCAGCTGCTGTTGAAGGCTCTTGACAAGACTGAATGGAGAAAAGATCAGAGGGATGCTGTGGGATGGCAGCTTATGTTTGAGAAAACAAAATAAAATGCCATTGGGCAGCTCCTGGCAGAACCAGGAAAAGTGACAAGCCTGGAGGAGATCCAAGGAACAGACCTCCCATCGTTTGGGCTGCCTCTGAGCAGACAAGGAATTGTTCACCGCAGGCAGAAAATTGATTTATAAGGAACACAAAGACCTGCTGCACTGAGTAAGCGTGGGCAGAGGCAGTAGAAGAAACAAATCCCTGAGGCAGCAGAGTGCTGGTGACTGCAAGGGGAACCACAGCATCTCGCACTGTCAGCCACCACACCTCGTCTGCCTTATTTTTCCACCCTCTTGACAGGAGGAAAACTCGCCTGCACAAGGGATTTCTTGGACCTTTGTAGTCTCAGGAGAAAAAATCTGCAGACCCAGACCTGCAGCACCTTTGGAGCACCAGCACTTACCTGCAGGGTCTTGTCGAACCAGCGGTTGCCGCTGTTCCAGCGGCTGCCGCCGCCGTGCAGCATCTGCGCGGCCACGCGGCTGTTGTAGATGTCCTCGGACACCCGGGGCATGGGGGCATCGAGGCACACGGTGCAGATGCTCTTCTCAATGGCACGCACGGACTCCTTGTTGGTCTTGTCTGGGAGAGAAAGGAACCGCCAGTAAGGAAGGGGAGTTGAAAACCTTGTTGAAAGAGCAGGTTTGGAGGACCCGGTGTTGGAATCCAGTGGGGGTGTACACAGCTATTACAGGTGTGAACATGCTGCCTTCACCCTCCTTTTTTCACATTGTTTACATGTGCAAGGCAACAAACTCTGGGATTTCAGGTCTAACAAACCAAGCTTCAGACCTTGCATTGATTGCCCTTTGAGGTGAAAACCTCATGTCGCCTGTCCAGAACAAGCTTCCAAATTTCTGAGCAGAGCACAGTGGTGAGGTTGGCAGCTCAAGGATCTGCAGTGTTTGTTAGCACTTGTGTGTTAGGGGCTCTACATACCTTTCAGGAGGTTGTTGTAGGCTTTTGCCCAGCTGTTTCGGTGGTTGGTGGTGAGGATCCCAATAGGTTCTTTGTTTGTTTGGAGGGAGGTGTTCCATATCTTCTCCAGCTGGATGAAGAGCTGCTCGGAGGTCAGGGGAGATCCATCACTGTTGTAAACATCCAGCTCAAAGAACTGAATGGTGAGAAGAGTGGACAAGGACAGAGGGAATGAGAGAAGCTTGTTATTGTCCAGACCCAAAAAACAGGCAACAGCTACTTTGAGAAGGTAAGACCTGACCTAAGAACTCGGCTTTAAGCAGAACTTTGAAGGATACTCAGAATTGAGAAACCCAAGTCCAGCTTCCCTTGCAGGGTGTAAATACAGTCCTGGTTTTAAGAAGCTCAGAAACCATGGTAATGAGAGCCAAAACACATGAGGAATTCCTGTTTCTGAGACCAAGCTGTGGTGGGAGGGTTTGTTATCCAATTTCCACTTGCAGTTTCCAATTCCAGGCATAATCTCTAGGCTTTGAGAGATAGGAATTTCAGGAACAAGAAGCAGAGGAAGAGAGCATTTTTTTGCCTCGCACTCTGTTGCTCACACATGGCAATTCCAGCTCTTGGCCTTGCTGGCCAAAGAGGATAAAGTGAGCAGGAATGACTCCCAGGTGAGGCAAACCTTGTGGGCAGAGACTTTCTCTTGTTCCCTTTCTGGATCACAACTAGCTGAAAGGGACACTTTGAAAGCTCAGGAGCTGCCATACCTGGAAGTTGTGAACCACTGTGATGTGCCTGGACTGCTTGTTGCCTTTGGCATAGTTGACAATGGAGTCCCGCTTGGGCCCGGGAATGCGGCAGGAGGAGAGGATCTGGTAGTACTGGTTCATGCAGAGGGGCTTCCCACCCATGTACTCCACTGGAAGGGTCTCACTGGAGACACAGCAAGGTAAGGAGGGAGGGAGAGAGAAAACAGATCAGTGTGAGCAGGTCACTCTGCTGCTGCTGTCACTCCAGCAAGACCTAAAGGTGCTGGTGGGATAAAAAAAGGGGCTGTGCTTCCCCATTCCTACCAGCTTTCCTAGTAGGGGCTACAAAAAATGTCTGTTTGCTGACCTTCCATTTGGGAAGGAAAAAGCACCATCCTCTCTGTGACACCAGAGAAATCTCTGGACCTACTCCATGGCTGTAGTTTTGAGTGACGAGTGTCTGATGTGCTGATATGACATGAACTAGGCTGGGGTCAATCACTCACTTTAGCAGTCATATTCCAACTACCCTTTTCACAGCTAGCCCTGAACCTTGTTTGACTGTTGGTGCTGGTAAACATATTTTTGGACCATAAATATGGCATGTTCAGCAGAGATTTGCTGGTGACTAAAAGAAAAAGGGTAAGGGAGGCACAAATTTCTCTAGAGCTCATCCCGTCTGGCTGGGAGATGAGAAACACCAGGAACCCAAAATGAGAGAAACAGATTCCTGCTGCCTGAGCTGTACCTTGTCCTGTGAGCAAACAGAAGCACGAAGCTCCACAGGACTGGCAGTCGGGCTCGCTCCCTCCAAGCACGTTTGTGTGCCAATGAAAGCATTAAGGTAAACAAAGAACATGAAGAAAGAAAAGTAAGCTTGCTTTCTTTCCAGCAGTAGTGACTGTGGCAGTGAGCAGTGCTGGGGATTGCAATATCTCTTTTCAAATATGCGCTGTCTTCTCTTGCCTTTCTATTTGGAAGGGAGATTTATGGACAAGGCTCAGCCTCTCTATGACAGGAAGGAATGTGTGAGCAGTCAGGAGGGTCAGTAACTCACTTGTCAATCATGGACTTGAAATCCAGGATGCCCTCGATCAGCTTGGCGGCAAACCTGGAAAAATATCAAATGTAACAATCTGAGATTCAAGCACAGACCAGCTGGGGCTGAGGGATGAGCAGAGGAGGATTAGCAGAGCTGCTCTCTGCTCCTTAGAAAGCTCAGCCTTTCTGCCAAGCCCCCGTTGTGCCCATCTCTGGTTCACTGATACAACCACTCTGGGCTGTGATTTGAGATACCTGGGTAGTCCTCCCACATGGCACTTTTTTTACGTATCTTACTGTATAACCAAGGAATGCTGGACATCTTACAAGAAAGCAGGATTCAGTCCAGATGACCCTTTAACAGCAGCGTTTGTTACTGATCTGTGAGGATTTTATCACATCCGAGTTCTGAATCTCAGCATTAAAACAGCACCAAGAGAAGGGGATTTCTGCCCTTTCCTGGCCAGGGGCCACCTTGGAGTGTCAAGCCAAATCACAGAAGTTTCTCCCTGCATCCAAGACTCATCACTGCTGACTGAATTCCTATCCAGTGAACATCCTGCTGCTCATGCAACCCTGAAGAACCTTCCTCTGGCACTGAGGGCTCTGAAACAAAGGCAGAGGTGCTGCATGTGGACACTGAGGTGTTGTGTTTACCAGGATCACGTGAACACTGCCAGTGCCAGCAGGGCTGTGACAAGATTAGCCTTCTCTGACCTGGGAGCTCCCACCCATCCATGGGGGAAAGGAGGTAGGGGGTCACTGGGACAAGAGGTTGTGGTCAGGTGATGCCAGCATTTGGCATTTGCAGGCTGTGTCCTCTCAGATGGCTCAGCCCACCCAGCCCTAGGAAAGACCAAAGGACACAACTCCAAGAACTTAATTAAGGGCTGTTAAACGAGACATCCTGCAAAATAGTTTACAATGAAAATTTCACAGCCTAATTGTAAAACCTGAGGGAAACACCAGTGAGAGAGCCTGTGTTCCTTTTCTGAGATTGAACAGGCTGGGAGCAGAGTTTGGGCTCGAGGAGAAGTTGGTTGACTCATTTTCAGACAGCAGTGTTACCAGATTAAGGAGTGGAGAACCACCACTTTCTAAATTTGCCTTTTGGTTTCTGAAGCTTTAATCTGAAGCTGCACTTTGTACAACTTCTTTGTACAGCCACAAACTACCCAAACACACATTTAGATTGTAGTTTTACAGGGAAGCCCAGATTCTTATGCAGCTTCTCAGTTCTACTAGTTGGGGCACTGGCAGTTCTCCAGATCTTATGTGCTATTTGGACAGCTTAAGAAGGAATAACATGACAGAGCTTTCAGAGATGTTTGTGTACTTTTGCACTGTCGTAAGGTTTATCCTCTGCACCTCTGCTCAGGTGTGTCACGGGGGTGGGAGGGAGGATTTGTTCCTCACTGATCCCCTGGCTGTTACTTTTGATCTCCAGGGCAGTGCTGACTGATAACTGTGGCAAAGGTAACTGTGTAAAGGTCAGTGCTAAAGTTTGGAAAGGTGAATTCAACACACTCATAGCAGTGGTTAAAAATTAAAGGGAGGCCACAAGGAAGAGAGGGCATGGCAAGGTCTGATTGCAAGGAAAGGCTTGGAGTGGAGAGGCTGGTCACTGTGAAGTTTCCCAAACCATAAATCACAAGTGAAACAACACAATAGGGCTCCCTCATCCCTATAAACCAGAAAACTCCAGAGGCATTCCTGGATAATCTCCCTTACATGCCTGGGCTACTTTTTATGGCTCCTTTAAATGCACACACAATCTTAGTGGTTCAGATACATCCTCACAATGCCTCCAGCCAGTGATTTGACCATCTTGCAATGAAGATCTGTGCTAGGGCAAAGACTTGAACGTAGGTGTTTAGTCCCTGTTTAATACCTGAACCACTGGACTCTTTGGTTTTCTCCCGTGATTAAATATTTAGCCTGGTGTAACCAGGAGTTTCCTTACAGCCTGGCAGCCTTGCCCTTGGAGTCCTCTTGCACAGCACAGACAGCTCAGACTTGGGGACCACATGATAATTACTTTCCCAATCAGCCTGAACACCCTCATCCTTGTCCAGCACAGAAAACTTATCCCACCTGTAACCTAAGGGAAAGGAGAAAAGGACTTTACCTGAGCTGACCTTGTCGATCCAGAAAATCCTGCTTGGGTAAAACCACACCTGGGCTGGAGTGGACCACAACTGGCAGGCGATATTCCAGGTAAGCTGTCTTCAGCCACCAGTCTGAGAGCTGGGATGCAGAAAGGCAACGTGCAGGGATGAGCTGCTGTTTGACCTGAGCCTGGCTCACAGGTCTCAGCACCCTGCCCCACACTTTACAAACTGTTTTGGGTTTCTGCTTTGCAAGTGGGAAGAGGAGAGGGCGATTTGAGCAGGGCAGAGGAGATTCTTAAGGCAGGGCTCTAGTAGAGGGTTTCCTTCAGCTTCTTGGGGCAGATGCGTGATGCTGACAGAGCCTTCAGCAGCCACAGGCAGGGCCAGCAATTCCCTGTCCTGCCATAAACCTCTCTGCTCACCCAAGTCGTGCTGAGGAGCTCAGGGAGGTCAGCAACAAACTGGTCACAAAGGTGATGCCATTAAAACACAGGTGCCAGTGGACCCAGCCAGGACATGGGAGAGGTGACCATCAGCCCTCCACCCTCCCTCCCCAGCGCTGGGGGCAGTCCTGACCTACCCAGTTCTCTGTTTTCTTGGCTCTTCTCTCCAGGCCCTTCTGCAGCCTCTCCCCGACGCCTCCCGGCTTGCGGAACTCGGCCACCAGCTCCTGCGTGTGGTTCAGCTCCTCCTGGCTCACAATGGGCTGCAGGGTCAGCAGGTACCTGTCCAGGGTCTGCTGGAGTGGTGGCACGGGCAGGTGGGGCAGTGCTTCCTGGTGGAGCTGGATTCTGCCCAGGATCTTGCCTAGAGATGCTGTCGGCTTCAGCAGGCCACAGGGCCTGGCCTGCAAAGCACAGAGCAAGTGTTGAGACAAAACTTCCCCCTGGTGTGCACGAGCCAGCAAATAACCTGGATCTGGGAATCTCCATCCCAGCCTGTCCACAGGCATACAGGTGTCCCAGCCTGGGAGCAGAGCACGGCTGTTTGCTGGAGAGGGTGCAGGGCACCCAGGAGAGCTGCAAAAGAGGAACTCCATCTCCCAAGACTCCGATTCTCAGCTCCTCTGAGAAAATGCTGCTGGGATAATCTCCCACACTGGGTGCCTTCCAGCTGAGAGTCTCCGTGTGTTTGACAAAGTCAAACCCTTCCATCCCACGGTAAGTGGGAAGAAAGTTGTGAAAGAAATAATCATCTTATGTACTGTCAGAAACTTTCAGAGTTTCTTACAACAGCAGAAGGCAAAAAAGTTAAACAGAACCCTCGTGCCCAACCAAACTACCCTTTTGGCTCTGAGGAGGCAGAATTTAGCTAAGTTTTGGAGCAGGATTAAAATGCTTCTTCTCTGACTGCACAGGAAATTGTGGGTGATGCCAACAGGCTCCTGAGGTCCAAGTGGGTCGTGTGGGAGCAGAAGCCTCAGAAAGCACCAACCATTTCCCTGGGCAGAGAAATGAAACTGAGCAAACCCAAGTGCTAACCTGCCAGTTTTCCCCCAAAAGAATAACAACATCCTCTTGGGTGAACAGGATGAACATCCTTCAGCTTGAAGATGTTTAAATTGTACTCTAAAGGTTTGCAGTTCCCTCTGCATCTCTCTCTCCATTGGATCTACTGAATCAGACACTCCTGCAGGACTCTGGACTTTGCATTGTCAGTGTACTGAGGATGCAAAGCCAGAGAGAACAATCCCTTTCATTTTCAAAACCATGAAAATAGCTGTCCCCACACCTCCTCCCAGCAGTTAAGCACAGAGAAGAAGAAAGAAAGATCTAAATCTGCAAGGTGACAAAGTCCCCAGGGAAAATGCCCTGTGCTCTTTGTGGGACCTGGCAAGAGCTGTGAGACCAAGGTTTGGAGAAGGAAGGAGAAAAACAAGAGAAGGAGGAATTACTGAGGCAGGAAAGAAGAGCAGGGCTGGGAAGGAACGGAGGGTGTTAATCATGGAAGTGTGGGCATACTGTACCTTCTCTGCTTGCTCCTGCTTCCTATCCATGGCTGGGAGGACAGAAAAGACCGTAAACCTCTCCCTCGGCCTGTCTGGGTCTCCTCTTCCACCTGACAATGTGCTGCCCGTGCAGGGCGTCACCTTATTAGCCAAGTGCCACATGACTGCTCCGATCAGAGCTCAGGGGCTGGCACAGCCCCGGGAAGGGACGGGAATAATCAAACCAAGGTTGCGACAACTGCCCCAGAGGTGCCTCTCTGGGCAGCCCTGGCAGACACTGCCTGGCAGTGCTGATCAATAACTGCGGGCAGAGTCTCTGTGATCAACAGCTCTCGGCTCCAGCCACGGCAGAAGTGACAGCAGCGGGAACGTTGTTCCCTCAGCCTCTGCATGGATGGTGAAACTACTGCAGCTGTTGTGAGAGGTGCCTGGACACGAGGAGAGACCCCGGTTTATGTCCTGGAAGGAGGTGGCACCGTGAGCTGGCACTGGAAGGGAAAAGCTGCAGGGAGCCCTTCTGTGGGGGGTGGGCAATTCTGTCCCTTTAGTCAGGCAAAGGTGGCCAGAGGGTGTCAGGTGAGGACAGTGACCCAGCCTCACTGGTGGTAGTGTAAGATTAGTTGGAGTGGGCGCAAATTCAGGTTGGGGCTAAAGGAAGTATCTTAACTGCTCTCACTCCCTATGCATGTGTGGGCATTATTGCAAGCTGAGACTTTGGGGAGTTCTGGCTTGTCAACCTTTAAAAAAAATACCCCAAAACCCAAAACGTATCTCCACAGCAGGGCAATGAGAGACTCATGCAGCCACAAGGACTATCAGCCCCTCCTTCCTGTCTGTCTAATGAACTGAGGGGCTGACAAGCACAGTCTGCAGAGCTCAGCTCAAGAATGATGATTGCAAACAAACACTTTCAGATTTTCCCCTGGGGTAACAATGAAAATCCCAAACCAAACTAACTGAAGCCACTGCATGTTAAAACGTGGAATGCATTTGCATCTTCCCTCTTTTATGTCCCCTGCTTGTTCAGTCTGGAGTTAAACTCCAAAGTGTTTGGTGGGAGGAGGAACAGCCTTCAGAGCTGAGCCGAGGAGGCAGCTGGCAGCAAACAGAACAGCCCACCTCCCCCCACAAGCACTAGGAAAAGGAACACCAGTGGAGCAGGATGTGCAGACAGGGCCAGCCCGTGGGCTGGCATCGCTCCCCAGCCATGTCCAAGCATGACAGATGACCTTTGCCAGAGCCTGCAAAGCTGGTGGGAAAGGAAATCCACCTGCAGCCAGGGGCTGGGGGGCAGGAGGAATTTCACAGCAGTGTCTGATTCTCAGCACGGCCACAGTATTTGAGTGTCAGATGTCAGAGGTTTGTCTTTGTCTTTTATTTTTAAATAAGAAGCTGGAGACTCCCTCAAGCCCAGAGACAACCAGCCCTGCCTGGGCCCTCTAACCCCGGGAGTGGATCCGTCCTGTAGCTGCTCTCCTGCTGCTCTGCCTCCTCCTCCCGGGACCTGACAGGGTTTGCAATAAGCAGTTCCCAAGCCCGGCCCCTTCGTGCTGTCCAGCCCCAATGGGACACCTCAGCACAGAAAAGACAAGGAGCTACTGGATGGGGTCCAGCAGGGGCCACAAATGCGATTAAGGGACTTGAGCATCTCTTTTATGAGGAGAGGCTGGGGATGCTGGGCCTGTTTAGTTGGGAGAAGGGAAGGCTGAGAGGGGATCTCACTAATCATCCTCATGCAAGGGAATGGTGCCCAGCAACAGGACGAGGAGCAATGGCCATAAACTAAAACATAAGGAGTTTCACACCAACGTGAGGAAGAACTTCTTTCCAGAGAGCACTGGTGCCCAGGGAGGGCGTGGAGTCTCCCTCTCCAGTGACATTCCAAACCCACCTGGACCCGTTCGGGTGTCACCTGCTTCAGGTGACCCTGCCTGGGATCTCCAGAGGTCCCCTCCAACTCTGACTACCCCGTGATCCCGTGATTTCCATCCCGGACAGCCCAACCGCTCACGCTGCCGCCGGGCACGGGGAGGAACCGACCGGCCCGGGGGGACTGACCCGGGCAGCGCCCCTGCCCCGCACCGGGGGGGCTACGGGAGCTGGGACCGACCCTCCCACCCTGCTCACACCGCGGGACACCCGCCCTACGGCCCTGATCGGGGACTCACCCGCGCCTGTGCCCCGGGCTGGGGCGCGGGGCCAGCCCCAACAGCGGCACTGCCCGGAGCCACCGCCTGCCCGGGGAAAGACCCCGCACGGACCCGGCTGCCACCTCCCGCCCCGGCTGCAACCCAAGCCGCCCCTCCCGTGCCGCCCTTACCGCAGCCCTGGCCACCAAGGCGAGCATGGCCCCGCGCCCCAGGCCCCCGGCCCGCCGCAAGGACACCGCGGCCACCCCCGGCACCGCCGCCCCGCTCCGCCGCCGCGGGGCGGGGCCGCCCCAACGCCATCTTGGAGCGGGGCGAAGCCTGCGCCGCCATCTTGGAGAAGGGCAGGGTGATGCTGCGAGAGGGGGGAGCGCCGCGGACGGTGTCGCGACCCTTCTCTAAGCTGCCTTCTCTCCGCGCTGGTGAGGAGGATCCTTCTGCTCGCCTCCGCGCGCCCCCGTTCCCCCACTGTGTGGGCAGAGAGGGCCGTGCCCCGCACAAACATGGCGGTGCGGGCACGACGGTGGCCGGGAGGGGCCGCGCCATGGGTTGATAGTGCCCGGAGCGGCGGGGCCGGGCGGTGTGCCCTGCTCAAAGATGGCCGCCGGCGGCTTCGGCTTGTGCGGAGGTGGGAGGTGAGGGGCGGCCGGGCCGGGCTGCGGGAAGATGGCAGAGAGCGAGCGGCGGGCAGGTGAGGGGCGGCCGGGGGGCTGGGGGGCCGACCGGGATGGGGGCTGCGCTCAGGGCCCCCGAGAGGACTGTCCTCGGGGCCGGGGTGCGCCGGCCGCGGGGCATCGCGCCCCGGGGGCGCCGGGCCTGGGTTGCGGGGGGGCGGCGGAGGCAGCGCCCGGCCCGGGGCGAGGGGAGCGCGGGGGCGTTTGCTGAGGGTGGAGAAGGGACAGAGCCCCGGGGCGAGGCGGGTGGTCGGGGCTGAACCCCTGGAGCCGCCGGATCGGGGTTCCCTGTCACCCCCAGCCCAGTTCTTTGACTGATTCCCGCGCGGAATGGGGGGCGTGTGCTGTGGGTTGCCCGAGTTTAACTCCCCCTCCCCGCACCACTACACACCCCTGGAAGGGTCTCCTCAGTCCAAGCTGCTTCTCGTCATCAAACTGACCCGCTGTGCTCCATCGCACCAGTAGGTTTGGATTCTCCTGTATTCATCCCAGAACACTGTAACCCCTGCAGCCCTTCCGTGAGTATTCCTGGTCTCCTTCCCAAGAGGCACTAAACAAAGTGTGGGTCAGAAGGAGCGATGGCTGAGAAACAAATACAAAGAGATAAAGTTCTGTGAAGGGCAAACACCCGGATCCCCGGCCCACGACACTGCCCTGGCCGCCCCTCTGGGATTTATGTGTCACCTGTGCTCATGGGCACATCAGTGTTTGCCTTTTTATGCCACTGCTCAGGAGTTTTTCGTTGTTTTCATGTTATAAACACTTTTAAAAGCAGAGCTCCATCCTGGTGTCGCTGTGAGTTGTGTGCAGAATTTTCAGAAGAGAGACATGCACGTGCCTTTCATTGAAATTCATCACATGTTGTTCCTCTCATCCTTGTACCTGGAAGTTTTGCTGTAACTTCTGCAGGAATGAGCCAAACGCTGTGACACCCCAGGGCAGGAGATGAGGCTGAATTTGTTCTGTGCATGGGGAAGGTGAAAGGCAGAGAAGTCAGATGACTGTCAAAGGTTGTATGACAAATCTATAGCAGGCTCTGTGTGGTTCCTGGGACTTTGGATTCCTTTTAATCTGATCTGCCTGCCAGGCAGCAGTGTGGAAAAAGGCTGCTGATGCTTCTGGGCGGTGCTTTCTGTGTGAATGCAGTTGATGATACTTTAAGGAGTTAGAACTGGTGCTATTTGTTAGGGAGCCAGTGCCTGAAGTGGCTGAGATGTGGAGACCAGTCGCTGAGCGTGCCAGGGCAGCTGGTGTTGGACAAGTGCCTGCAGAAAATCTGGGATTAAAAAGGTGGACAGAGTGGCTCTGACAGAATTCATAAATTGACATTAGCACCCAGGTTCCTTGACAGACCTCTCTGCACAGCCTCTTGCTATTGATGGTTGCATTTACCAGGAGCAAAATACAAACTACCTTTAACCTCGTGGAGCTTTTCTGGCTCTGCAGGGTCATCCTGGGTTCAGGTGCTGGGGAAAAGAGCCCCTCTAATGTGTTAACAGCTCACATTTGTGTTAAATATTAAATGCTGGACTCTGAGAGAGCTTTAAATTATATGATCATCAAAGCTTCCACCTGGAAGAGGTTGTGTCCCAGCATCCCCCAAGCTCTTGGGCTGCATCTGTTGAACTCCTCCAGATTGTCCGTGCAGGAATTGTCCTTTGTAGAGGAATGCGGGTCAGACTTAACACCTAAAAACAAGGCTCAGTAAGTTTGTAGGGGAGTTCAGTGCTCCCACACGACCTGAGGCTTGGCTGCAGTAGACAGAAATAACTAAACTGGCTGGATGTTGCCTTTGTTACCTCCTGCATCAGTCTCTCTGTCCGAGTGGGAAATGCATCTTTAATGGTGAAAACAGACATAATGCTACTTTCTGAAGGCTTGCCCAGCCTTAGGAGTGTGTTATCTATGGATTAGGAGGATATGGGTGAGGAGGACTTGGTGAGATAGCACAGTTGGGATGGATTTGTTTGCTTTGTATCTCCTGAGAAATAAACGTCGATTTCAAAGAAAGGAAGATACAGGATTTCTTCTTCTCCACTGCCTCTGTTTTAAGTCTTTTTTGCATCTCCCAGGCGCCTCTGAGGAGGTGGCTCCTCCCATCCAGCAATGCTTCATGATCCCCAAAAAGGAGATAAACGTGGTTTCCGACATGGCCAAGTGGAAGCGCTCTCAGGTATGGCTCTGGGAACAGGGAAAACTGGGAAGTGCTGCTGGGCTTTCAGTGGCAGCCAGGTCTGGTCTGGGAACAGCCAGGAGGTAAAGCAGGGTTGGGCAAGGAATGGGAAATTAATGGGTTTGTGCCTGTTTATAGGAAAATTACTTGGCAGCGAGGTGTGGAGGAGGGAGCCAGGGAGAGCCCAGAGGCTGAGGGAGACCAGAGATGCTTAGAAATGATTCCTGCTCCCTCCCAACAAGCTGGACAGGAACCTGGTGACTATTTAATCCCACCTGCCCTGTATTTTATACCCAAACTGGATTTATCCAGTGCTGTTTGAGCCCGCCTTGAACATGGTCCTGCTGCCTGGGTTGGTCCTGGGGTCTTCCCACTGTGCTGTACTGGAAAAGGCTCTGGGGCCTTCAATTTTCAGGATAATTTTTGTTTACAGCATGTGTGGAGCTGGTGGAACAGCAGGTTCTCCCTTCTCTGCCTTTGAGGGATCGGGGTGTTGGCCCAGACTTGTCCCACCAAATTGCTCAATGACTGATCTGAGATGTCTGGAAAGAAGCTGAAGTTGCATCCAGGTGTCAAGCAAACCTCTGGGCGCAGCTTCCAGTTTAAGTCTCCTGGGTTTAAGGACTTGCTCTTGGTCAGGATTTTGGTGCAAGGAGGGGGAGGTGGCAGTGGCTGCTCTGGAGCTGTGGAGCTGCACTAGGGATGATGCTTCAAAAGCAAAAAATTTAAAGAGAGGAGCAGCGAGGAGCCTGGGCTGTGTCCCAGTTCCCTATCGTGTGTGAGCACAGGAGAAGAGTCCAAGGAGGAATGGGGAGATAACAGTGCAGGTCTGGGAGGAGCAGGGTGCCTTGGCACGGCTGAGACTCTGCAGAGCTCAGGAGGTTGAATTTGACCCGATAGGAGCTGAGGGAATGATTTTGGGGTCAATGTGAGCATTTTTAGGATGTTCCTCTCTGTAATTTTCAGAGCGCAGTCACCATCTGCCTTCTGCCACCGGGGCTGCCAAAAAGAGCAGCGGCCTCACAGCAAGCCCTGCACCCCCAGGTGTCTCCAAGGAAGCAGTGTTGTGTGCTGGGAAGGGTTTCCTTGGGGTCTAGGATGCTCCCATGCTGTGTTTTGTGTTCAGACAGCCCGTGGGCACTCACTAATGCCCTGCACTCTCGGTGTGTTCGCAGGCGTACGCAGACTACATGGGCTTCATCCTCACCCTGAACGAAGGTGTCAGGGGCAAGAAGCTGACCTGTGAATACAAAGTGTCAGAGGTAGGAGAAGAGTTTGGATCCCCTTGTTTCTCCTTTCCTGCCTTTTTTTCCTTTTTTTCTCTCTCTTTTTTTTTTTTTTTCCTAATTGGTTCTACAGTGAATATTTCCTAGGTGAGGAATGAACTGGCAGCTTATCTGGGAGCCAGGGAGAATAAATGTGGTTGGGTTATGCTTGGGGATGCAAATGCCAGGCTGCCATTCCCACTCCAGGAGGCAGAGGCTCCCAGTGTGTGCTCACTGGATGGGAAATCGAGCAAGTTACAAGTGGTAGAAGCTGGTGGGGAAAAGGAGGGTGCAGAAAGGGCACATTTTGCCCTGTTTTCACAGTCTGGCTTCAATCAGTGATGCTTCAAAAATGTGATATTCTTTCCTAATTGCAGGCAAAAGGCTGAGATGACTACCATTCCTGTTCTCCCATGGGCTTTTCTGTAGGACCTTGGGCAAGTCACTTCTCTCCTTGTCCCTGGGCTTCCTTGTTACTCAGACTGTGACAACAGCACCAGTGTCCTCATCCCAGGCTGTAGCTGAGCTGTGCAAGCTTTGCTCTGACAGTTGTGACCTCAAGGCACATCACTGGCTGCACCTGCCTTGCCAAGGGTCGTGCTGAGGGGGCTGTGGAGCTCACAGGGAGCTGGGCTGAGCTGAGAGGTTTAACCTGAGGGGCAGGATTGCCCCTTCCAAGGTGCTAAGCAGAAAGGACCTGTTTTTCCCCTTGTATGAATGTGGCTGTCACCTGGCCCTGCCTGTTGCCATGGCCAGTTTTAATGTCTGTTCACCTTTTCGGGGCACGGTGAGATCATTCGGAGCCAGAGGGAAAGGACAGGCACCTTCACTGGTGTCACTGCTGCCCTGAGGGCTCTCTGGGTGCTGCCAGTCCACAGAGCTCATGTTGGATGTTGGATCCCCCCTCCCTTGTTCTGCATTGCAACGAGGAGATTTTTGGGTACATTTTTGCTGATCGTGGTGGTGCAAGAAAGCTGAGAATGATGTAAAGAGATCATGGGCAGCAGACTGGCCCCTGTGTGTTTATAGCTTCATTCTGGTGTGGGAAGGCAGCTGATGATGGTCTTTAACCCAGTTGTTCATGTCTGAGTCCAGCCTTCCCTCCTAGGAGCCAGCATGTGAATGAGAAACTCCCTTGTAGTTCATGGAGAGGAATGGGGATAATGAGCCCCTTCCTAACAGGCTTCGTGCCCACCTTTTGTTCCTTCAATTCAGTAGAAACTGCTGTCAAATGCTGCTCTTGCTTTCTGCTGTTTGTGTTTCACCTTTGAGTTTTGTCTTTGTCATGATCTCGCTTGTTCCCAACCATTCACAGAGCAGTTCTAGGGAAACAAAGCATTAAAAATGAGCAAAACAAAGAGTGGGGGAAAAAAACCCAACCCTCTTCCTACAAGCCTTTGAGCTGTCAGGAAAAGCTGTAGCAGGGCTGTGTCTGCAGCAGAGCCCTCTTGGAGGGAATGTTTTCCATCCATGGTCCCAGTCCAAGTGACAAACAAGAGACACGATCCCGACTGCTTGGGAGGAGGCAGGGAACAAATCTCATGCCCCTCACACCGAGGAGAGCAGGAGCCCATGACTTGAGGCCCAGCTGGAGCATCCCCAGGGTTGCCTTGTTGATGAGGTTGCTTGTTCACACGGGCTGCTTTGTAGATCAAACTGCTTATCTGTGCTTTTAAAGGCTCAGCCCCTCGTGGCCTCTGCTTGCATCTCTGCTCAGCTTTCTTCTCTTTTGCTGTACCTGCTGCTGATGTGCTTTTGTGCCATCCCATCTTCCTCCCTGATCAAATGCCAGGGACACCTTCCTTTGGCAAATGACCTCCTGGAATCCGTTCTGCAGAACACGTATCCTCTCTCTGACTTACTGGTATTGCTTTGCCATGGAATAAAAAAAGGAAAATATGTTCTGCTCAGCTTTTAAAGAGAAGCTTAATGGTTTCCAGAGAGCATGTGTTGATACCAGCCTTTCTGCTGGAGCAGGAGCTGGATCCTGTGGGGGCTGAGCCCCCTTGGGGCTCCTGCTGAGCTTGCTGTGCTCCCACTGAAACATTCCGTGGAGCTGTCTGGGGTTTGCTGGAGGCATCTGACAGGCACTGATAGCTGAGCTGTTGTTTAGGACTCTGCTGTAGACACTGTGTCTGGCACAAGGTTGTGTGAGTGATAGGGTGTGACCTGCCTTCCCCTCCTGGAGGGAGTGCTTTCCATGCAGGGATCCTTCCGGGTCTGCAGCCTGGAGCAGTGACTTGGATCAGAGGAGAAGTGCAGCGAGGAGGAGGAGGTTAATTTTGGTTGTGTGAGGAGCAGACCTTCCCTTCCAACAGCCCAGTGCACTGGGGGGAAACTGGCTGCAAACTGGCCGGCCTTGTGGCTTGCTCTGCTTCCAGGAGGGAAGCGGGGTAAGCAACTCCCCCCTCTGAGCCCAGAGGGGCAGACTTGGCCCCCACGGGCAGCTTTGGCTGCCGTGATGCCTCCTCAGCACCTCTGTTTGCCTGGCTCCTGCTCTTGAGAGCTGCTGACAGGTCTGTGCTCCGAAGGAAGCTCTGTGGTTTGCCTTTGGAACCGGTGGCAGACTCAGGGTCAAGGAGATGCAAAATCAGCACAATGAGAAGAGCAAGGAGAGCAGGGGGGAGGCTGCCCTTGCTTTGATCACTGGAAAGGTAAAGCAAAAATAGAGCTTAAAAGCCCAGCCAGGCAAAACAGGGCTGCAGTGGTGCTGATGGTTGTGTTCCCACAGGCTCCTTTCCTCCCCCACAGGGGTCAGCCCTGGATGTACAGGTTTCCTCTGCTGGACAATGGGAAGCTGCTTCTTTTAGTAACCCCCTTTTCAAAGGGCCTTGAGCCCAAAATGAGCTGCATCTCTTTAATTATTTATTGGTGTGGCTGATCTGGCAGCTGGGTCCTGCTCTCCCGTGTTCACTGGGGCTGGGCTTTTAATCCCTTTAAAGCCAGCGAGTGGGGAAGGGGAGGTTGGAGTCTGCTCCCCAGGGAAGGAGCTGGTCCGTGCCAGCCATTTATCCAGGCAGCACCGAGTGCTCGTGGAGAGGGTTTGAAATACGGTGGCTGCTCGTAATGAGCTGCTGGTGCCGGCGGATAAATCACCAGCACGATTTAATTATTTAATGCAGCCCAGTGCTGGGGATGCTGTTGCTTAATTGGAGGGGAATGCGATAGCCAGGAAGGAGTAGGGCTGAGGCCAAACCGGCCCGGTGCAGTGGGGATGTGCTGGGTTCCTGCAGCGTTTTGGGAGCAGGGAGCTGGAGCAGAGGGGGCTTCAGTCCGCATGTATCTGGGGCACTGGCCTGTTAGTGGCTCCAAGGCCACCCAGAGCTTTTGGCTCTCTTGTCCCTTGGCTTTTTTGTGTTCCTGGTGTGCTCAGGTCTTGTCCCAGCCTCTAGTCTGGCTCAGCAGCCAAGTGCCGAGGTCCTGTGAGGTAGGTGGATCCCTTTCCTGCCTGATCCCGCTTCCCGCTGGCTGATCCCACCATGTCCTTGGGGTGGCACCTCAGGAGTCAGTGTCTGTGGGAGGTTGTGTGTGCCATGAGACCCCTCCTCCTGGGCGCGATCCTCAGCTGGCCCAGCGGCAGCACCGCTCTGCCGTGCCCATCTCTGCCCACCCCCTTCCAGTGGCACTTCAAGGGCTGGAAACTTGCTGGGCTCTGCTGTTTCCTCGTCCTCCCGGCAGCAGCAGCAGCGTGAGGAATTGAACCACAGCCCAGGAGACCAGCCGGCTTCACATGGTCGATGCCTCCAGCAAAGTCAAACCAGCCGCCGCTGCCGCCTGTCCTCTTTGTCCCCTTGAAGGAGGAATCCCCTCTCGAGACAGAGGAGCCTACATTGCCCGGGGCCTGGCCAGCTGCTGTGGCGGCTGACGGCTCTCCAGCTGCTTGGAGTCAGGCAAGGAGAATCCCAGAGCCTCTGGCAGGCTTGACCAGTTGTCAGCAGAGCCTCCTAAAAGTGTCTGGAGCTGCTAAAAATGCTGCCTGTGGCATTGGCTCTTGGTGTGTGGGGCGTAGCCATTCCCCACGCAGGGGAGAGGGTGTGTATTGGCCAGCCTTGGTCTGACAGCACAGATGCTGTGTCACCTGCTTCACCTCTCTTTTCCTTCATGGCCACTCTCATACATCCTATACATGTTCCTTACTTACAGAACTAGGTGTAAGAATCGTGGCTGTTGTCTTGCTGTTGCTGTTGTCTTCCCATCAGCTTTGTGTTTGTATTGAGACATTTCTGTGGGAGCCAAGAGCTTCTTCTCCTGCCTGCTCTGATGGGAGCACTGGTGGGCAAACCAGGCTGCCTCTTCCCCTGGACAGGCTGTGTTTTGCCACATCCCTGGGCTGAGGGATCCCTGCCGTGGTGGCCTGGCTGGTAGGAGTTTGAAGCAACAGGAGTCATGCTGGGAAGGTTGACTTGATGTACAGGCGTGGGGTGGTTTAACAGCATTGCTGCTAATCCTGGCTCCTAAGAGACACTTCAGGACAATGATAAGAGCCTTGAGAAGGGCCTTTAAATCACATCATCAGCTGTGGGTGAGGATACATGGTGCTGTATCCTGTGGAGAATGCAGGGCCCTCAAGATGCGGAGCCTGAGTTTTGTGTTGGAGGCTCCTGAACTGTGTAGCACTTCCCTCCTTCTCAGCCCTGTGTGCCCCTCAGCCAGGAGCTTGCTGTAGGTCTTCTCTGAGAGGTTTTGGAGCACAGTGCTCTTACAGCTTATGAAAGACTATGGGGGCAACTGGAGAGTCTGCCTCAGGCTGGTCTTTGTACTGGACTGATCTTCTGAGGGGAAGGATGGTTTTCCCAGCCCCCCTGCATTTTGAGGAGGGTTGACACATCCCATTTCCACTTGCCAGCCCTGGAAAGAATGGTGTGGGCTTTAATGACTCCAGTGCAGGGAAGAGATGTTGGAGCTGAGGGACTGCTCTGGTTTATGCCACTGTGACCCCTCATCCTCTTGCTCTCTGTAGCCCATTGAAAAGCTGGTGGCTCTGCTGAACACCCTTGACAGATGGATTGATGAAACCCCGCCAGTGGATCAGCCTTCTCGCTTTGGGAACAAAGCCTTCAGGACCTGGTACGCCAAACTAGACCAGGTGAGTGTGTGTTTCCTGTGCACCTGCAGCTCCCATGGAAGGGCAGTGTGTCCAGCAGGGGTGGCAGAATGGCTCCATCACTGTGTGGCAGCCAAGCAGCCTGTGGAGGAATTGCCCAGATAAGCTGTTAAGGATCCATCTCTTGATATGCATCACTTACCCCTAGCCTGGTGCTTGTCTTTTCCTCTTGTGAGAGCATATGGGCCCTGTAAATGCTCTTGGCTGGGTCTCCAAGTTCTGGATGAGCCTGGAGGGCTCTCCAAGCCCAAGGAATTCCTTTTCTTTTTAACTGCCCACTGTGTCACAAAATCAGAGAAGTGTTAGGGAAACTGCTCAGCTCCCTCCATCTCAGAGCACTTGCCCTGCACTGGGTGCTGGAGGTGGCACAGTCCCAGTCCCAGCAGCAGAGCCCTTGCAGCTGCTCTAGTGATGCTTTTGTCCTGGAGATGGCTCACTGGGTAACTGGGTCAGTGGACTTGGATGCTGAAGCTTTTCTGTCCTGCAGGATGCATGTGGCCTGGGTAGGTGTCAGGCCAAGTTTTTCCTGACTTTTTCCATCTCTGGAGATGACTTCTTCAACAGGAGGGTTTGCTCCTCTGTCATGCTGGCTCTGGGCACTGCAGGAGAGCACCATTGCAGCTCCCCCACTGCAGCAGGGTCTGAGCACAGGGTGACTTGTCCCTGGGGACTGTGGCAAATCTGCACTCACTCAGGGAAGTCCTGTGTCTTTCAGGAAGCAGAAAAGTTGGTGGCAACAGTGATTCCCAAGCATTTGGCTGATGCTGCCCCAGAAGTGGCTGTGTACCTGAAGGAATCCGTGGGGAACTCCACCCGCATTGACTATGGCACAGGTACCTGGGCTTGCACACTGGCCAAGGCTGGGCTAGTTGGGAAGGGACCCTTTGGAGCCTGGTGCTGCATTAATTTAAATATTATTACCACTTTTTTTAGTTCCAGCTTGAAACAAACACCTTCCTTCTGGGCCCCCTCACCCCTCTGTCCTGTGTGGGCTGTGACTGAGAGCTGGGGCTGGGAGCTGTGCTAGAGCCTTTCACATCTCACTGGAGGAAATGGGAACCAAGCTGTTCTGGGAATAGCTGTAGAAACTGCTTCACTGCATGCAGGTGTCCTGCAGTAGGCAGTTTTAAAGGGATAAAATATAATTACTTGAATTGGAACTAGAGTGAGAACCGAGTTCACGTTCAGTGGGAGGTGTCCTGAGCTCTGGTTCTCCCCAGAAGTGACATTGCTGCTTACAGAGGGACTTTGAAATCTGAAGGTAGAAACATTTTGCACCTAAGGAGGTGGTGAATTGCAGGTTGAAGTAACCACACTGGCTTCAGCGAGTACAGAATTGTCTACATGCTCTGCTCCTCTCTCTGGAGGACAGCTGTGCCCTCACCAAGAGGCAGGAGAGTAGGATGCTGTGGGTGCAAGGAAACTTGGGCAGGGAGAGGAAGAGGAGGCTGTGGGTAAAAGGCTGAAGAGCTGGAGGTTGTGCAGTGCTGGCTGCGGCTCACTGGCACCAGGGGGAGATGTTGTCCTTGGAAAGGGACTTGCTGGATGGGGTTTGGTCAGCTCAGAAGGAAATTCAGCCTCTTCTCCCCTCCTGTGTGTCCCAAGCCAGAGGCCTGTGTCCTTGCTCATAGTGACCAGACTGTAGGTGCATTTTGTTCCTACACTGGGAGCTGCACCTGCCCATAGTGTGGAGCTGCTGATCTTGTACTCTCCCTTCTTCCGTGATCCCTTCCACTAAAAGACATTTCTGGGTTTGCTGGCTGCTTCTTTTCCTTGGTGGTTGTTTCTTTTCCTTACTGTTAGCTGGAGGACCAAGCTGCAGGGGCCCAGCCCGAGATCCCAGTACCTTCTGGGACAGACTGTTCCTGGCAGTGTCATGGGATCTGCATCCTTCTGACATAGAGATATTTTTGAAGTGGGAGGAAATCTGTTTACTTGCAGATGTGAGGTTCTCTTGCATCCCCTGAGCAGATGACTCTGCGGTGCTCCACTTCCCCTGCTGTGCCAAGCTCCTGGGAAAGTCCCTGCCTTGCTCCCAGCATGCCCAGTGTTGGAGCTGTTTTTCCTTAAGAATCTTTTCTCAGAGTGAATAATCAACTCATGAATGTCTAGAAGGTATAATTTGGGTGGGTGCTGCAGGAGGATGAAACATTGTCAGCTCATGGCATTCCTAGTGACAACAGGGTTGAGAGGGGACTGTGACTGCTGTGATTTCTGAAGAGCTGTTGTGGTGCCCACAGAAAGGTTGTCCTGAGGGCCAGAGACACCAGTGTCATGTCTCTTCATGTCTTTTCACTCCAGGGCACGAAGCTGCATTTGCAGCCTTTCTCTGCTGCCTCTGCAAAATTGGTGTGCTCAGAGTGGACGACCAGATGGCCATCGTCTTCAAAGTGTTTAACAGGTGAGGTAATGGAAGGAGAAGGGCTGGAAGTATTGGGCTGTTTGGGGGAAAGGGCAGAGTGGGAAGCTGAAGCCAATTTTAGACAAAATTATGAGCAGATGTACTTTTTAATGGACTGTACACTGACCCATTATAACTATCTCCAAAATAGATGATGGCCCCTTGTCTGTCAGAGGCTGAGTGTCCTTCTGGAAAGTTACTTTAGTTGAGCACAGGTTACTGAGCTCTCTGGGTGAAGCTCCATGTTTTGTGATAGGCAGGAATATCTGATCAGAGCATGTAACATTTCTTCAGGCATCAAAAATAAAAAATCCATGCAACTAGCAGGCTTCCACTGCTCCTCTAGATGTATTTCCAGCCCAAGAGGTAAAGTTGGTAGTGATGAAACTGGTGGATTGGGTGTTTGGAGTCCAGAGATCTAATCCCAGCTGTATCACTGTTTGGTGGCATGGAAACAATTTCCTTCAACAGCACTTTAATTTTCCACCTGAAAAGTGGAAGTAGCAATTGCTGTAAGGTGGAAAACTTTCTGAGCTCTTTTGGAAGTTGTTGAAGGAGAGTGAACTGTCAATGTTTTCAAATTACAGTGGGAATGGGGAAAGATCTGCATCAACATAAGACACTGCAGGTGAAATAAACCCCTGCCACTGGATTTCTCTGTGAATTTGGTGTCAGGCACCATCAGGCTGCTTCCTATGGCAAAGGAGCTGAATATATATTGTATGTACTGTGCTGTATGTGGAGATCCTGCTTACAAAGGATAAAGCTGTGTCCTTTTCCAGACTGGTTGTTCTTCTTATGTAAGTCAAAGGCAGAAGAAGGCCTTGTCTTAACCCTTCTTCTCTCTTTGGTCTCAGGTACCTGGAAGTGATGCGAAAACTTCAGAAGACCTACAGGATGGAACCTGCTGGCAGCCAGGGTGTGTGGGGCTTGGATGACTTCCAGTTCCTGCCTTTCATATGGGGCAGTTCCCAGCTGATAGGTACTAATACAGATCTTCTTCTCGTGTCCCAGCCTGCCCTCTGCCCCATCTGTCTATGCTGCAGAGATGATGGGACTTGGGGCTGACTTCTAAATTCGAATCTGTCAAATTTGTGCATAATACAGCAGAAGAGTTTTGGGCTTGGATTTTTTTTTTCCCCCCTCAGCTTTTCAAATAAAGCAGGTTGCTTAGGTTGGGAGATGGAAGTGTTCCTTGTACAGTACATTTGTCTTTATTGCAATGACTACAAGCTTTTTAAAAGGAGAGTCTCGGGTTTGGTGCTAGAAAATGCATTTTCTGCCCTGGGGAGTTTTCTCCCTGCAGAGGCGCTGAAGTGGGAGACGAGATAGAAGGGAGCAGCTCTGTGCTGACTTTTGAAGAGCTCTGATGGGAAGATCGTGTTTCTGGAAGAGGGGCAGGACAGCACCTGATTGAACTTGGTCTCAGAAGGGGGCTGCCTTACAGGTTGCTTCCTGTTGTCTCTTACTCTTTTTAGACCATCCAAGTCTGGAGCCTCGGCACTTCGTTGATGAGAAGGTGGTAAACGAGAACCATAAGGACTTCATGTTCCTGGAGTGCATCCTCTTCATTACAGAGGTGAGGAGTGGAAGGTTTGTCCCACAGGGACGTTCTCTTGGCATCAGATACTTGGCTCTGCTGTGGTTTTCTGTTCCTCCTTTGCTGCTTTGTTTGCTGTTGTGGAACTGTGCAGATGAACTGTTGTTGCATGTCTGAGGTGCTCTCCTTGAATGAGTTGAGACAGGGATGTTGAGAGGAAAGTGTAATTAAGCTGGATGGGCTGTGGATGGTAGTTGAAGGGAGCTGTAACAAGAGCAAACAAATAACCTTGGATCAGTCAGTGGGAACTTGGATGGAGAGGGCTAGTTCCTGCAGATACTGTAGGAAGATGAAGTAGGAGCTGCAAATCGACTGGGCTTGCCAAGACAGCCTCCCTTCCCTCCAGCCCTTGGGTGCTGCTTGGCAGCCCTGGGCCACCCCTTGCTTGGGGCATGCTCCCAAACTTCTGTGCTGCTCCTTCTCCTCCAGGTTCTACCAAAAGCCCATTTAAATGCACCTTATTTGCAACTGACCTAGAGCAGGGAGTGTGCTGAGACTCACCCAGCTGGCAGCGCTCTCAGGACTGGGGATCCTCAGCTTGTTGCCAGCCATGGGCAGTGTCTCAGTGAGGGAGCTCAGGGCTTTCTGCCCTCAGCATCTGTGGAGGATCCAGCCGTGTTTCTCCCGGCTCCCTCACAGTCTGGAGAGGGAGAGCAAGAACTACCCGCTCTCTTGTGGTGAGGGATTTCTTGTCTCTGGCAAGAGGGAGTTGATGGGATTAATTTTGAAGGACAGAGTGCGGTTCTTCCCCTTTGTTCTGTTCACTTTCCCCCCTCCTCGCCTCTCTAATTTAGTGATTAGATGAGAAGGGAGGTTACAGACTATGAACTTAGCCTTTCATGTAGGAAATCTTCATAGGAGCCTTTGGCCCAAACCCCAGGAGGTGCTGTGTCAAGTCCTGCTGAATCTGGTAGGGTTTGTTGGTACTCAGCACCTCACAGGGTTTAACCCTTAATGCCAAGATAAATCATGCCACAGGTAGTAAAGAGGTGCTGGTGGAAGAGATCAAGATGAGGACAGGAAAGCAGGAGCCAAGATGGTCCAAGATTTATTTTAGTTTGGGCCTCTAATATCCAGATAGTGCACTGACCTGTTAGAAACAGAAAAACACATCTTTTGACATGTGTGTAGAAAATTCTGCAGCGCCCAGATGACAGGTGAAGTTTAAAATACCCAACACCATCCTGCTGCTTCAGGTCACGCTGCTTCTGCCTGCAGAGAGTCAGCTTTTTAGCAGGCTTTTAAAATAAGTGATTTGAGTTCCTTTTTCCGCACATTTGTCAGGAATCATGGAATTCAGTGTTTCTGCCGAGTTCCTCAGTGCCACCTGGTGGCAAGGAGCCCTCCTCTCGGGCCTCCTGCCGTGAGCCTTAAGGGACAGCAACAACCTGCATTACCAAGTGCATGGTATGTTCAGTCCACCTCCATGCAGGCACTGGTTCCTTTTTATAAAGATTTTGCTTTTAAAATCTGGGTTTTTTCCCTCCCAAGTGCCCAGGAAAGCTGTAACTGCCACTAGAGGGGGTGAGGCAGCCTCAGCACCCTCCCAACGCTTTCTCTCCAAAATCAACAACAAAACATAATAGCAGGGAAAAAAGATAGAAGGGATTAAAGACTTTAATAAATGAACGATATTATTTTCTTCTGAGCTTGTCAGCTGGAAACAGCTCTCCTTTAAAGGTGTTAAGCACATAGCAAACACCCCAGCAGTTCCTGCAGTGGGTCTGGTATGTCTTGCTGACATGAGAGCAGGTTTTGTTTCAGCAGGCTACAACCCAGGTAGGTTGTTTTCTGTCAACTGAGAGAATATTCTCTTGAGCAGATATTGTTCTCAGCCCCTGGTGTGGTGTTTGCCACGTGTGTATTTAAACCTCAGGCTCTTAAAGCAGCACCAAGATGATGTCCAGGCTGATCCCACCACGGCATCCTCCCCACAGCTGCGCTCAGGCACAGCAGTGAGCCTTGCATGAGCTGGCCTGATGTTGGGAAATCTGTGGGGTGGGTTTGGACCTGAACACGTGGTTCTGGAACAGGGTGAGGTTTGCAGAGCTGGCTGGGACTCAAGCTGTTCCCCTGCTGCTGCCTTTGCCTGTCAAAGTGTGCTGTGGGGTGTATGTGGCACCTGCAGGTGTGAGGATGAGGCGCATTTGGAGCATCTCTGCCCAGGGGCTGTGGAGGGCAGCGATGCAGGGCTGCCTGTGTGTGTGCAGATGAGGGGTGCTGGGTGCCCCCCAGCTGTTGTGGGCGTTCAGTGCACTCGCCCCAGATGCTCCTCCGAGAGCTCAGGGCAGGCAGCAGGAATTTCAGCTTCAATCTGGCTTCTAAATTTGGAGGTTTGGGAAGGGAGGGCTCGGGTTTCTGCTGGAAGGGAAGGAGCTGACAGGAAAGCACGGCCTCAGCCGTCCCCCTCCCCCCTGCACTGACAGAGGAACCATTTACAAAAGGCCGATTCTCTTGGGAACCGAGAGGCAGGAACGCCGCGTCTGTGAGTAATTTCCTGCTCAATATGGCTGCTCTGACTCACTCTGTTCCCCTGGGGTCACTGCGGGACTGCAGCGCTCTCGCTGCCTCTCGCTCTCCCCCCCAGCTCTCCCTCTTCGCCCTTTGTGGCTGGAAGGAGATGGATTTTTTTTGTTCCCCCTCTCAACCCTCTTATTTTTCCCTCCCCAGTGTGAAGCCATAGCAAAGCCATCCCTCTCCAGGTGCCCTGGGTGAGGAGGGCCACAGTGGTGGTCGTGCCAGCCCTGCCCGCCTCCTCCACACTCTGTCACGCTCACTCCAGCTTGGGAAGGGAGAGAAGCAAAGCCTGGTGGTGGTGGCTGGTGCAAACTGTGCCCCTCTGAAGGGAGGTGATGCCAGGAGAAGGTTTGGCATCAAAATTCATGCAGCCAAAGCTCCTGTGCGGGGAGGAGGTTCTTTGAGGAGCCGCCTGGCACGGAGCTCCCTGGCTTTGGGTGCCTGCTGGTGCCGAATCTCGGCGCTGGATAATGCGCCGGCGCTGTCGGTGAGCACCGTGCTTTGTGTGCTTACACGTTTCATCCTGTACCCACGAGGAAAGCGTGTGGTGCAGGGGAGCAGGAATGGCCAAGCGGCTCATCCATCATCCCCCGGCTCCTGGGAACCACCGAGGGGAAGCGGAGATGCATCCGCGCCCTCCCGGCACCGGGCAGAGCTACAGACCCGCTTCCCCTGGTGCTCCCACCCCAAGGTCAGCGGGTGTGAAACATGTCACAAGAAGTGGGGGTTTTTTTGGATCCCCCCACCCTTTCCCTCTCTTTCTTTCTCTGCCTCAGGCTGGTGCCACACAGGCATTGCAGAAATTTCCCAGAGCAGATTGATTGGCTCTGCTTGCTTTTACAGAGAGGTTCTTTTGGAGGCTCTTTTCCCACCCTCTCTCCCGGCCTGTGCGTGCATGGAGGGAAGGGGTTAGTTGTTCAAACCCCAAGTCGTGAACGAGAGTCCAAGAGATTCCTCTCTCCCCACGCTCCTTTTTAGCGTGAGCTTCGGCCTTGTGGTTTCTGATGTCATGGGAACTTCGCTCAGTCAGAGTGGCTGTGTTGTATTTCTTTTTCTCCCCGAGGGTCTGTTTTTGTTCATGGAGAAGAAGGGGAGACAACTACCCAGGGAATCTACATGCAACTGTCCCTGATTGCAGCTTCACTCCCTGCCCTCTCTTCTCCAAACTGCTCACCCTGGGAGGAGAAACACTGGAGTATGAAAAAAAATAAGAATAGAAATATGTAAAGCATTTGCTGCAAGGCAGCAGCTTGCAGCTCTGGAGCTGGTTTGGAGAGCGGGACTGGAGTGTGTCCCCTCTGCTCCTGCCTCCCTCAGAGCCCTCCTTAGCTGGAGGCAGGTGTGGAGTGGGCTGTGGACACAGAGCTGCTGCCAACCTGCACTGCCCTCTGTATTCAGGGAAGGCAGCGCGGTTGTCGCTGCTGCTTGTTGTTGATCTGAATGGGGAATGAGTCATTTTCTTGGAAAGCCCAGCAGAGCTGCACTGGGAGGTTTCTGGGTAGAATAGGAACAGCGTTGAGCCAAACTCTACTGGAGGGGAGAACGGGACTTATGTGGGGCTTTTTTAAAGCAGTCATTAAAAGGGAGGTGTGCAGGGGGACCTCTGATTAGGAAAGCGTGGCAGGAAAAGGCTTAATTTTATCAGGAAAGGAGGGGAACTGGATTGCCACGGCTTCATGTGATGTGGCCGCAGCGGGAGGGAGCGCGGAGGGAGGGAGGGAGGGAAGTGGCAGTGAGGTGGCTGGTGCGTGGGTCACAGGGCTTGGTGGGAATGTTTGCTTGGAGAGAGTGTGAGCGTGAGTCACTGCTGGTGCACGAGCTTCCTGGCTGGCCCAGCTCCCTCAGCCCTGCGCTCGGGTCTCTTTCAGATGAAGACGGGCCCCTTTGCCGAGCACTCCAACCAGCTCTGGAACATCAGCGCCGTGCCCTCCTGGTCCAAGGTCAACCAGGGCCTCATCCGCATGTACAAGGCAGAGGTGAGCACTGTGAGCAGGGAGAGGCTGCTGGGCCTCCTCCCCTCCACAGCACTGTGGGTCAGCTCTTGTTCTGCTCCTTGGTGTAGGGACCCTGTCACAGTCATTGACTACCCCTTGCTCACGGAGCCCTTGGACAGTTCAGGTGCTGCTGGCTAGAAGGAAGCTCCTGCCTGCCTAGTGTTTGCCCCAAAACTAATCCCAAAATGGCCATTTCTTGCAGAGATGACTTTTGCCATTTCTTGTCTTCCCGTAGTGCAGGTTTCAGGCCTACAAATTAGGGCTGATGTCTTGACCTCCTTATCTGTCTGGTCCCCCCACTATTTTACCAGCTGGAAGAGACTTAGTTAAAATTATCATCCCGTGTTTTAAGGGCCCCAGAGCAGGCTGAATGCTTACTACTGATCTCCCCTTGCTACATGTCCTGTCCATGGCCACAGCCACCTCCCTGGTTTGGCAGCCCTCTGCCCACCAGCACTGCTGGCGCTGCCCTAGACTTTCCTGGTGAACCCCTGACCTGGGGAACCAGGCAGTTTTGGCTCTCCCTTATCTATCCTTCCTGCTCGAGCTAACCCTGAGCTTGAGGAAGCAGGACAGGAACCACCACATCTGGGCCTCCGGAGGGAACATCTCTTGCTGGGCAGGATGGGACAGTGCTGGCTCTGCAGGACACACTGGCTGTGCCAAGGGCGCTGAAGGAGCAGAGATGGTGCAACTCCCTGGTGCACCCAGTGGTGCCTGAATGAGTTAATCCCACCCCTTGTGGTCTGTGCTGGTGACAGATCTCTGCTCCTGTTGCTGGGACACGGGGCTGAGGCTCAGGGACAGCTCTGCTCAGGCCCAGCGCACAAAGGGGTTAAACTGTGCCGAACTGCCGCTCCCTCCCCCAGCCCTTCCTCTGCACTGCACATCCTGTGTTTAGGTTCCAGGCCACATACCTCTCTAATCTGTGAGGTGTCACTCCCAGGCCCGCTGGCTCCTTCCGCCCCCAGCTCAGCTTTCCTCCCAGCCTCCAAAGAGGAGAAGCGGGGCTGGGGGTCGACCCCCTTGGCTGGCTGCTCCTTGGAGGGGTGCCCCGGGCTGCTCCTCAGAGGGGGAGGTGCCCCTGGACTGCCCCTCTGAGGCTGCCCCTGTTCACAGCTCCCTCACAAGGGCTGGAGACACTGCCTGCTGGGAAACCCTGAGCTGGAGGCTCTGTTGTGAGAGCTGGGGGGTCTGAAGGGAAGACCCTGTGAGTGCTGTTAAAGTGAAACGTGAGTCCCCTAAATCCTAGAGCATCAGTGTGGTTTGCTCCTGCCTCGGCAGCCCTGCCATGGTCCTTCCTTTCCTTTGGATCAATTCCTTTGCACAGCTCTCTGGGTACTCCCCTGGCATCCCACATGCCCCAGGATGTTCAGGTGCTCCTGCCTGGTGCCCTACATGCCCTTTGCCATGTGGTGGCTGCCACCTGTACATGACTGGAGGAACTTAGCAGTGGTGTGCCCACGGTGCAGTGTTCATGTCTACTGATGTCTTGGGGCCACTCTGTGCTGGCAGATCTACCTGTGCCCTGGCTGGGGACAGCACAGCCTGGGGATCCTCTGAAGACTGGGAGATACTTTGGCTCTTCTAAGTGCACCCAAGGCGTGGCACTCAGTCACTACTGGAGGTCTGGTCTATTTGCTGCTGGCTCCCAGTGCATTTCTGCTCACTGTGCCCAGCTCTGTAGCCTTCACCAGTGCAGTCTTTCTCCAATTAGCCACTGCCAGCATTAGCAGAAGGGAAGTCAGCAATAGCCCCTGAGTGCTGACATGGATCTTTGTCCAGCTCAAGGCAGGCAGCTTCTGTAGCAGAGCCTGGAGTGTTTGATGGCAAAGAGAAGGAAGGTTTGGGGTTGCTGTGTTGCTTTGTCTAACTAGCAAAGATGTCCTTTTATTTATTTTCCCCTCCCTTCTCCCTGCCCCTCTGATGCCCTGTTGTAATGAGATCAGGTGAAATCAGACACTCAGGTGGAGGCACCAGCTCTGTAACACATCTGGGCTGGCTGGGAAGCGCCGGGTGCTGGACGGTGCTGACCGTGACAGGGTTTGAGTGGAGGCACAGCACAGCCAAGGGGTCACTGGCTGGAAGCAGAGCAGGAAAAATCAAATGCTCACTCACAACCTCCTCTCATTTGGTGGGAGTGGGGCAGCCCCAGACTTGGTTCATTTAAAAAGCTTTGTCTCTCCTCTGTCTCCTCTGTGGGATGACTTTAACCAGCCAACAGAAAGCTCAGGTGTGTCCGTGTGGCTGGGAGCTCTGGTCTGGATCCAGGCACTCCAGGGTGCATGGGCAGTAGACTGAAGACAACATATCTTCAGCTCTGTGTGTTTATGAAATCCCAAATGTGTCTATTTATAATATAATGGCTGAAGATGTGTTCTCTTGGAAGTCCAAGGGCTTTTCTTATTCTCTCCATCAAAGGCAAGTGAAGAAGTTGACAGAATAGAGTGTGGTTAAAGCAGCAGCCTTGATGTTTTTCCCCTGAGCCTGCTTTTGAGTCTCCTGACCTTTCCTTCTCTGCAGTCAGTCGGGAAATACTTTCCATTGTAACTAATCTAGTCCCAGTTCCATCTTTAAAGGTTGGACTTGGTGTGTGAATCTGCTCCCCAGTTGAGTCCCAAGCAGACCTTCAGCATGATCAAGATGATGGCAAGAAGAAATAAGCTTGTCCCCTCCACTGAGCTGGTGTTGGGTACATCAGTTTCACCCACATGTGATGCAAGGAGGGTCCTGTCTCTTGGTACCTCTAATAATCCAGTAAATTTGTGTTAGTTCTGCTGGATACAGAAGGAAAAGTTTCTTTGCTTCTCTCTTCTTGGGCTGGCGATGTGTTAAGTGGAATGGATACCCCTTCTTCCCACTGGTAGTTAAGTCTCTTCATCTGGAGCCCAAACCAGTCTGGTCTTCCATGGGATTCCTTGGATCTAATTGGGCTGACATTTCTAGCTGTCAGCATCTCCAGTGTTCATTTCTCTCTGCTCTTCCCTCACGTCACTGTTATCCAGTGCTGCTTCCTCTGAGGATTTGTCTAAGTGGTTGTGTGGAGAGATGGCAGCATCTCTGAGCATTAGGAAGCTTTGAAGGTGACGTGCCCTGATGGTCACAGGACTTATTTCTCCTTGGTGCCTTGCCATGGAGGTTTGTGGTTTTCTGCCTGGCTATTATTCCCCAGGAGTGGATACAGCCATGCTGTACCTTCACTACTTCCAAACTTGTTTTGGATCCAGTGTGCTTGTGCTTGGAACCAATTGTCTGACCTCTGGCTCCGAAGGGATTACTGTAGGCCTAGGTGTCTGAGCACAAATCCTCCTGCTCGCCTGTGGGCCGGGTGCCTGTGCCTGAGTTCTGCCTTGGAGGAAGAGCTGTCTGCAGCACACTCCTCCTCGCCAGCCCCAGAGCTGGGGTATCCCCTGCTGCAGCAAGTCCAACTTGTCCCCATGGAGAGCACAAGGCTCCTTCCTATGGAAAGGAGAGTTGTAACTACACCATGGCTCTTGTCTCCCTTTGGTAGGAAGGAACTGTCCTTCAAAAAAGTGCCTGGAGGAAAGAGTTGTGCATTTTGTCCCAAAGATCTGCCTGGGAGGCCACTGACTGTAGGCAGGGGCCAGTGTGGCCATGACACCCTCCTGCTGCTGCGTCTGCAGCCTGTGGGGAGCTGGGCAGCATCCTGCCCACCTGGCTCTCTGTGCCAAGGAATTGCTGGGACTAGATGGATTCCTCTTAGCTGGTATCTGCTGGGCTTTGGTTGTACATACTCCATATCTCCTGTGGAATGAGAGTCCCATCAGCAGATCTGTTCCTCAGCTGGGTGCAGGGAAAAGCCTCTTTTCCCAGACACTGCGAATTTGGGGTTCTCTTCTCCTCTTTATATCATGCTGTCTAGGGAGGGAAGCACTTGCCCCTCTACCTGTAGCAAAGAGGTGGCCACCACCTCACCAGCCCTGGTAATGAGTCCCCATTGCAGTGCAGGGGGGTGTCTGTGGCCCCTGTTCAGCACAAAGAAGGTGGGTGATGCCAGTGCAGGCGCAGCTGCGGGGCTGGTGAACACACACTGCTGAGCTCTGTGTGATGGAGGTGAGTCTGCCCTGTGCCCTTGCTGAGCTTTGGGCACTCTGAGTCTGCAGTGACTCAAAACCCAGAGTTCTGAGTGGCTCTGGCAGGCAAGCACTGGCAGACTCACAGTCCTGACCTTCCTGCCATTGGGATGGGGAGTGGAAGGACCTGTGCCCTCACAGCCCGGCTCACCCTGCACAGAGGAAGAAGCAGCTCCAAGCTAAGCTGCCTTGTAGTGGATGTATATAACTGATCTCTGATCCATTACTCTTCAGTGGTGGGTGGGAATTTCAGGAGTGAGGGGTTGTTGAGAATAGGATTATGTCTTAAACTATGGCAGCAAAATCACTGGTTCTTGTCCATCAAAGACCTGAGAGTCTGGAATGCGGTTTGGGCAGTGCCTTGCGGCTGCAGGATGGTGCCTAAAACCTGGAGTGTGAGCAGTGGCCTGGGGAGGGAAAGTCTCTTCCCTGGGGGGTTCTGCAGTTCTCAGTGTTTGTAGGGTGAAGCTCTTCAAAGAGATCAGCTCGAGCAAGGAGAGTGGTGAGAGAGAAAGCTGCTGACATAGACATGCTGCTTCTGCTCATGCTCCAGGCCTGAATGTCAGTAAGCAAAAGGCTGAAGGGAAGGGGATGGGGTTATGAAGTGTTACTGGCCTGAGGAGCCTGATAGGAATGTGGGGGGAGACATGGAACTAATCCCTCTGCCTTCGGCTGAGCTGCCCTGAGCTCACTGCCTCCTGACCCTGCGGGCAGGATGTAGCTCTGGCTGCCTGTGTAAGGTGGAAATGTCTCCTGAATTCACCTCTCTTTATCTCCCCTCCTGCAGTGCCTGGAGAAGTTTCCTGTGATCCAGCACTTTAAGTTCGGCAGCCTGCTCCCCATCCAGCCTGTGACATCCTAAGGAAGCCGCGGGAGGAGCCGGAGCAGCGGAGGCACAGTGTGGCACTCTTCCTCCTCCCCTCACCCCCTCCTCATCGCCCTGCCCATCCATTCCTGCACATCCTCATCGGCAACCACAGATCCAAAGCACTCGCTGGCCTTGCACGGGAGACAGGATGGACCTGGAGCAGCTCCCCCTGCACGTCCTCACCACGGAGATGTCTCGCCCGCGGCCAGGCCAGGGCCGTGTTTATCCACAGCTGCCGTGTGTGGCTCCAGGCACGGGAACGGGTTTGGGTAGGGGCTGCTTTGCAGCAAAGGCCCTCTGCTTCCCTTCCCAGGAGGAAGGGGTGTGGAGGGGAGGAAGGCACGTGTGGGTGTGTTGGGCAGTGGTAACTGCGATTTCCCTTTTGAATTTCATTGGAGTTTCCTGTTGCTGTTTGCTTTGGGAAACCACCGCACGGGGCGAGGTGTGAGCCTGTGCGTGTCTGTAGGCAGCCAGCTCTCCCTGCTCAGGAGGTCTGGAATGGGTAAAGGGGGTTGTAAGGAATGTCTGTGTGTTGTTGGAAGCCCAGGGTGCCATCTCTCCCTTTTCTGGGTAAGGAAAGCCCCCTCCCTCTGTCTCTTCTGCAAGATTCCCTTTCTTTCCCACTAGCACCTCTTAGGTGAAGCTGGGAACCTTCTGGGCTGTGGCTCTGGAGCCGGAGACAAGGTCCCTGGAGGGACCTGGCTCTGTGGGAACAGCTATGCAAAGACACTGCTCAGGCTCCCTCTTAACGGGTACAAACCCTGACACGTTCACACACATCCACGGCTGGGTCCAACCTGCCCTCTGCACTCCCCATGCTTTGCTGCCCCAGGGCTGGGCTGGCCTCAGTGGCACAAGGTGACTGTGGTTGCTCCTGCTTGGTCATAAACTGTAGTGACAGCCCCATAGCAAAGGGATTTCCCCATGGAGCAGCATGATCCCAGCTCTTTGAGGGAGACATCCCTGGAGCACAGGCAGCATGAGAGGGCAGCATGTGGCTTTACATGCATTTATATCCCCATGCTGAAAACAAAAAGCATAAATAGCCCAGGGCAGCAGGTTATACCTGGAGAAAGCTCTTTCCCTTTGTCATTCCCTGGTGGTGTTGCTGTGCTGGACCTCGGGCAGAGGGACCAGACTTCCAGTGCCACTTCCACTTCCAGCAGCATCTTGAAGGCAGGTGGTCTGGATCACACCAGCAGCATCACTGGAGGGCAGAAATGGCTGGTGCTGTGTTTGAGATGAGCTGTTGTATCCACAGGTCTTGACCAAGGTGGTCCACAGCTTTGTAGCTGGAGAGGAGATGCTTCTTCTTGGGCTTTCTGGGCTGGGTGTGGGGCAACAGGGCTCTGGTCTGGTGTTTGCTGAGGATCAGGAGCAGCAGGGATCCTTCTCTGGCACTCCTGCAGATCATGGAGGGGGCAGTGGGGCTGCTCAGTGCCAGGCTGCTCAGCTTTTGCTGCTGCTTTACTGCTGGGGAGGGGGAGAGAAACCTGCTTGTGATTTTTTTTTTTTAATTATTATTTTATTTTTATTTTTTCATTATTTTTACCAGAACCTACTCACTCCCTCTTGTAAAGGTTCTCACAGGCGCTCAGGGGAGGGAGAGCAAGAAAAGAGTCTAAATTAGGAGGCAGTGAAGTGTCCACAGAGCTGAAGTAGAGCTTTCTGGCACTGCTGCTGTCCTGACTGCTCCTGGCTTGGCCCTGGGCAGGGGGTGGGGGACAAAGGGCTTTTGACCTGCCTGAAACAACTTATAAACTTGTATTTTAAATGAAAATGGAAGACTGGGATTAAGTCTATTTTACTTCTGAATGAGATGTGTTTTGTCTTGGCATTCCAAATGGATCCACTCCTGGAATGATGGTGGAGACCCCTGTGCTTGCTGGGGCTTGATGAGTCCATCTCCAGCAGAGCAGCCCGTGCCTGGCATGGAGACCCTCAGTGTCTCCACCCATGTCCCCTCACATTGCTGTGTGGCTTTTGGCAAGTGTCCCCATGCTTTAAATGGCTGTGTGGCTGTGCAGCATCTGGCCAGCAATGGCTGAACAAAAGCCTCTGGTCTCCCAAGTCTGCCCAAGGGTCGGGAATGCATCTCTCCTGGTCATCTTATGGAAATGGGGCTTCCATGCAAAAGGATGGGTGGAAATGCTGACATCCGTGCATGGGAGGGACATCCAGAATGTGGAATACAGCACCAAAGAATGGTGGAGAGATGCTTCCTTCTCCTGCAGCTGCAGCCACTGCTCCCTGGGGATGGTGTCCCTGGGCTTGGGACCTGCGGAGGAGGTGGGAGGAGGCTCGTGCAGAGCTGTGTTTGTTGCTTGCCTGAGTCTGCACATTAGTCCTGCTGGGTATTTTGGGACTTCAAGCAGCTAACTCTTATTTGAGTCTTATCAGCCCGCTTGGGATGTGCCCCTGTCATGTGGCAGCCACCTGCTTGCCTCCCTCTGACTCCCACAGCGTCCCTCACGGCTTCTTGGGGCTCCGCTCCTCTCCTGGCACATCCACACGTGTGGCACCACCTAGGGCTGCTCCGTGTCCAAAGCAGCACTTCCCACCTCCTCCCGCACTGTAGTTTGAATTAAAGTCTCTGTGTTTTGCACCAGTGACTGTGTTGGTCTCTCTCAGACTGGGGTTTGCTCCCACTTTGGGAGCAGAGCCAGTGAAGCCGAAGGCCGGAGCCCTCGGCACAAGGAAGAGGCACTTGCTGTGTTGGTGGTTGATCTTTTGCTTGCACCAAAACGGACTCGTTATTTACTGCATGATCAAGTGCATCCAGTCTTTGTGTCCTTCCTGGGTGTCTCTCTGTTGTGTTGTATGTTTTTATTTATTAACTTTTTTGCTGTGCCCACCCCCCTCCCGGCTGGGATTTGGCAGGTAGGTGATGTGTGAATCCTGATCCCAGGCCAGCAAATACTTCTTGAAGATCAGAGACTCTCATGACCAAAGGATGTTTGAGCCTTGTTTCTGAGGCAGGGTGAGAACTGGAACCTTTTTCTTCAGATGTTTTTCGTGTCCTGCTGTAGGAGCTGACTCAGGACTTCCAGCATCAGTTTAGTTCAGCAGCTTTGTTGGATTTATGTTATACCTGGATTAAATTAAACCTGGACCTTCTCACGAGTGGTTGGAGGTAGGGTAGCTGTGCTGAGCAAATGCTTGTTTCCTTGTCTCTGGGTTACATTGTCTCCATCAACACGGGCCAACTGTGCGAGCGCGTGTTGCTAAAAGCGGCAGCAGCGTGGAGGGATGGATGGTGAGCAGAAATGTCATCTTGGATCACAAATGTTTTCTTTGAAGGCGCTTGAATTCGTCTTGAGCACGTCCCTTAGTGAACATGACGTGCAGTGAAGGGGAAGCAGACGTAGCGTGGGTTTCTGGCCACCTTCCCCCTCAGCCCACTGGCCAAGCCAGTTTTTTTAAATTCAGTTTTCAGAGCTGGGGTTGCCACATGTAGGGCAGTTTGTGTTTCTGTTTAACAGGTGTTGCCTTTGCACAGGGCAGGTTTGCAAATCGCCATCAGCCTTCCCCTCTCTCATTCTTCACAACCCTCCTTTATGTGATCGCTCATGGCAGCCACTTATAAATGAAGTAAGAGTTGAGAGAAGGAGCCTCATGCGGGGTTGGGAGTAACAGAATAAAAACTGCTTGATGCCATTGTTGCTGCATTCACTTCTCCCCTCACGCAGTGCTGAGATCCTGCTGGTGAATAAACAACGCAGCCCCCAGTGCAGGACCAGCAAAGTCTGAGCTGGCACTTGTCAGCATGAAGGTGTCCTTTGTACCCCAAGGACCTGGAGCTGAACCACGCAAGAGCCCTGGAGTCTTTGCCCTATCCCTGTAACTGGGTTCCTTCCTGAGAGAGGGAAGGAGGCAGAAATGGGTGGGAGAAGGTGAAATGGGTGGTTAACAATCATTGCTAATGTAACCTGGACTCTCTCACTGCCAACCTGCCAGCAGGAAACTTGTACATTTGAGAAGCTCGCAGGGATCTCGTCGCTGCTCCACCAAGGACTCTCCTGGCTCAGCTGTAGAGTTTACAGGGCTTTTGAAGGTTGTTTCATGCTCTAATAGCCAAGAGGAGAGATCTTCATCCTTTAGCGTTGTTTCCCCTTCAGTGGATGAGCACTCTTCCCATTGACATTGGAGAAACTCTTTGAACGTCCTGGGGTCAGACAGGTCTTGTAAAATTGTGCCAAACTTCAAACTAGGATGAGCCAAATTGAAAAAGGGCCTTCACATCGGATTCAGCAAGGGTGGAACAGTGATGGGCATCCTCAGCTTGGAGATGCACTTGTTCTGGAGAGCACAGGGCTGTGAGCAGGTTTTAGAGGTTAGAAAAGGCCTTCCAGGGGGTGGAGTGGGTGCTTCTGCTTGCTATAAAAAGCCTGGGCTTGGGAATGTCTCCATCGGCCGGCTCAACGCAGGGCGTAAATACAGTTGTCGCTAAAATTGGAACGAGTCACTCCCCATGTTCCCGGTTGCAACTGTAACACGGATAATAAATAACATCGAAATCCCACATCAGAATTCGGGCTCCTTAATGCTCAGTGTGTGCACACCCATGGAAACAAAAAATCCCAGGATTGGGGTCCTGCAGGAGAGGTGCTGCGAGGCCCCGACCCAGCAGGCACCAAGGTGTGTATGTGAGTCCTGAGCACATTCTGCTTCCTTTTATAAAGCAGATTAAGGATGTGCTCAAGGATTTGCTGACCCTGTAAATGGAGGAAGTAGAGAAAGCAGAGGAGCAGTCCTTTATGGGTTCTTCTATTTTTAAGACACCTGAGAGAGAGAAAACCAAGCAGCCTGCACTGCACAGGTCGAGGTACCGAAATTATCCATTTGGACATGAATTCCTCCCAGTTTTACGTGTGGAAACAGATGGGTTTTTTTGAGATGGTGATGCCTGTGATGCTGGAGCCCAGCCTGGTGAGTAGCTGTGTGGCTGTGACCACTTGAGGTGTGCAGAGCTGATGACATTAACCACCACCACACTTCTTTAGCCATCATGTAGACATGATGCTTTGGGTTTCAAGTGCTGATGCTGCTAAAGGAAAACTGTTTTACTGTTGCTAAAAGAGCAAAGCATAGCAATATTCCTGAGTCTATGTGTCCTGTAATGGGTCCAAACTATAGAAAATTGACTGCTGTGGTGTTTAGAGAGAAATTCCAGCTAGATTGTAAGATAACAGAGCATATTCTTTTCCTGGATACTTGCTGATCACCTGAAGTGACTGCTTTGCAAAGGGTCTTACTTTTCCATGTTTGGAGCATATACCTTTAAAAATATTAGTTTAGGTATTACATATCCCCTTTGAAAAAGTTCCCTTGTAGGCAAGAATAAAACTTACAAAAAGGCTGTTACAGAGATCATCAGCTCTCTATTAGATAGCTTGGAATATGCTCCACTAGCACCAGAGTTTAGTCTTCTCCAAATTACTGTAGAGGATTTGACTGTATCTTGCTGATCCATCCACATTTTAATTTCCTCTGCACGGATACATATTGCAGGATGCTGGAAATCCCCAAGCCCACTGGAGCTGCAAGACTGGATGTTTCATCCTGTAACACCAATAAAATGTTAATGCATACTAATAGCAACAGCAAAGGGGTTTATGGAGCGAGCTTGGAAGTATTTTATAATTGCCAGGGTATCTGTGTCACAGAGAATTTGGGGTTAGAGTCATCAAGTGTTGCACTTTGTGAACACAGGAAAAGAAAAAGCCTCAAATATACCTCAAACCTACTAATTTTTATAATGAAAGGGGGGAAGATGGGAGATGAGCCCCTGGGGAGAGAGTCAAACATAAATTGCATATACGTGAGAGAGCTGCCCACTGGTTGGGATGGATTTGGGAGAGTGGGGACACTGCCTCCCTTTCCCACCTGGACACCAAGAATAAGAGCACCGTCCTGCTGTCTAAACCCAGTAAATCTGGGCATGAGGTGACATAAATTCATCAGTAACATGAAATCCAGGGAGCTGGGGCAGGGTTTGACTTCTCTGCACGTTGCACTGCCTGGCTGCAGCACCCCACCCCTCCCAGCAGCTCGTGTGCCCCCTCAGCCCAGCCTGGGGGTGTGGTCCTGTTTACTGCAACCTGAGGTACCAAAACCAAGGTAAATTTGGAACTGGGGGCGGAGGGACCAGGCTTCCTTCATCTTGCAGCGTTTCCATGTTCTCTGGTTCTGTGTGAGCTGTCAGCCTGTGGTTGCACCTCTCATCCTGCCTGTCCCAAACATGCATCTGGGATGCTCCAGTCTCTGCTCATTGGTGTTGGGAGGACTGTGGGACAAAGAAAGGAGCAGTGAGGCTGCAGAGATCACACCCTGTCCAGAGCACCATGTGGGAATTGCTGATCCGCCCCAGCTGGCACTTGGCTCCCCTGTCTCTCACACTGGACCAGAGCACGTGGCCTCCGTGGTCCAGGGGCAGAAGGGGAAGAGCCTGGATGACCACAGAGCTGCTTGTTTGAAGAGATGTGCTCCAAACCCTGGGGGTTTTCCAGAGTCAACAGATCCCGAGCCAAGGTATAAGCCAGAGGCATTGCCTGACCCGGCAGGCACCGGAGGGCCAGACTGAAGGAGCTCTGCATGTAAATGCTCCTGAAACAACATTAGGCTGAGTTAATCCAGGGGTAACTCCAGAAGGACAAACTGAAGGTTCAGTGCTCTCCTTATCTCACACCGCTAAGCTGGAGGACCGAGCCCAGGGCACCCCACAGAGCCTGGGATGTCCATGTCCTGGCTTCTGGGGCTTTTTATCTGTGTCCTTGCCTTCTGGTTTGTACGGGAGGGGAAGAGCCGGGATGTTTGTGGTACTGTGGGGACCACAAGCGTGGCCTTTGCTGGGCTGGAGGTGGGTGATGGAGCAGAGCAGCCACAGAGCCTGTGTGTGGGGAGTTGTCTTTTGGCCCTAGGGTCCTCCAGTCACCCCGAGGGCTGCTTTGTCCCTGCACAGGGTCATCCTACATCCCTGCCTGAGTCCTGCTGGAAGCTGTCCGCAGAACTTTCCCTGGTGCTGGTGAGGGTGAAGCCTGTCCCTTGGCACATGTTTTGGGCCGGTGTTTGCTCTCCATCACCAAAGCAGATGGAATTGTGAGTTTCTGAGATGCCCTTCCCTGAGCTGTGCATCCGACCAGCCCTGGCTCCCTGCTGAGGGGGAGTTCGTTGAAGTATCCCTGAATCCTGAGCACTCTGTCACCCCGTTTGCAAATGGTGGAGCAGGAACTGGTTCCAGTTTGAGGTGTGCAGCCCAAAATGCTGCTGAGCCTGTGCTCTAACACTGGCAGTGCCAGACAGGGGCTGTGGTGGCAGCCACAGGAGGAGGAGGAGGAGGAGAAGTGGGCATGGCATGGGCACAGCAAGTCGTGGTGGTTGGTGTTTTGTTCATCCTCACCAGGGAGCAAAGGAGAAACAAAAGCTGGAGCAACACAGGGCACCAGGCTGGCTGGGCGAGGAGGAGACAGAAATAATTGTGCAGAATTTCATCGTGGAGCTTGAAAAAGGGTGATTTTGTGAGCAAATAGTCAACCTCCCAGAGCAGAACTTCCCCGTCTCCAATTTCAAAATTCCATTCACATCAACATCCACTTTCATGCTGTAAAACCTGGGGAAAAAGGAAGGGAAAAAAAAAAGCAGCTTCACACATTTCAATGCAAGAGTCTGATTTTGGTGAGGAAAAGAAGGTGAGAAGCACTGCTTTGGGAGTTGTTTATTAAAAATCAAGCCCCCCCAAAATGAAAGTGGCAAAATTATCAGGGACTTGAGGCATGTGGGGCTGCCCTGAAGTCCAAGGCTGCTCCTGCCCATTGAGGCTGAGCCCTGTGGTACCATAAAGTGGCTGCTGGAGTTCTCCACATTTGAAAGGTGGGAGAAGGGCATGGTGCAGACTCTGTGCTCTGGTACATATGAATCCTCATGAGTTTGGGACAACAGGAGTGGGGGGAAAATGCATGGATCTGGCCAAATGGGGGACCTGCCAGGGAGGAAGGGGCAGCTTCAGTCCCATAAAAGGGAGGAGAGTTGCAAGGAGCAGGGATAGTCCAGAGAAGCATCCCAGGCAGCATGTGGGGATCTCATCACTCCAGGGAAAGCCTCTTCCCCTCCTCTGGCAG